AGAGCACCTGGACCTGGCCCGCACACATGTCCATGCAAAAGGGCGGTGGAGGTATGCCCGACCCCTCACAGTGGGTCTTAGATCTCGGGGCTGGCGAGTCATCCGCATACGTGGCCTGGATTAGATTGCTTCTTGGTAAAACTTAATTGGTTTTAAAAATAAATGAATGTTTATAATTAATATTAACTATCAATTTAGGCGATAAACTCACAAAACTCTCGCCAATGTTTGTAAAGCGTATGGACTATGAGTTGGACAGACGTATTGTCGAAACATTTATGAACAATGACTTGAGTTGGATGGGTTTTAAGGGCCAGAAAGTGAACAATTGGAACATTTGGATCAATACTAATATATTGATGACTAGTCTTCTCACTGTAAACGACACCAAAAGACTAGATGTCATCAAAAGGGCGGTCATGAGTGCAGATAATTGGTTGGACAGAAAGTGAACAATTGGAACATTTGGATCAATACTAATATATTGATGACTAGTCTTCTCACTGTAAACGACACCAAAAGACTAGATGTCATCAAAAGGGCGGTCATGAGTGCAGATAATTGGTTGGACTGGTATGGAGAGGACGGTGGGTGTGATGAGGGGCCGAGTTATTGGTACGAAGCCGCCGGACGTTTCATACAATTCTTGTATTACATGTCATCTGCGAGTCGACACCAAATGGACTGGTCGTCCAAACCTATAGTGAAGAGTATCGGTGATTACATCTATAAGATGCACATCAATGCAGACTATTTCGTAAATTTTGCCGACGCACATGCAAAGAATGTGCCTGATCCCTCTTTGGTCTATCATTACGGAGAACTATTCAATAACACAGTTATGAAACAATTCGGATCTTATTTGAGTGCTTTGGAGGGAAACGAAAAGTTTTTATTAGGAGACCAAATTCGTACTGATATTCGTTTGCATCAGTTTTATATGGAAATGATTGCCTATAACTCTCTTAAGTCAGAAGTGCCTAAAGCTCCTCAACCTCTCGAGTCGTGGTTTCCTGACATCCAAGTGATTACATTGCGATCAGAAGAGGGTTCAGCTAAAGGACTATTCTTAGGGGCAAAGGCAGGAACTAATGGTATTATAAATTACTAATTTATAATTAATGAAAATTATAATTTATAATTCATTAATTGATTCAATGTTTAGATGAGAGCCATAACCACAACGACGTCGGAAACTTTGTGCTCTATGTCAACGGATTACCCGCTCTAATAGATATAGGAGTGGGAACTTATACTAAGGACACCTTCGGTCCCCATCGCTATGACATATGGACGATGCAATCCCAATGGCATAACACCCCAACCATTAATGGCGTTCAGCAAAAGGCCGGCGCACAATATGTGGCCAGAAATGTGACCTATAATAAGACAAGTGCCGAGTTTGAGGCCGATATAGCCGGCGCTTACCCTAAAGAAGCGCAGGTTAAGAGTTGGGTCAGAAAATTAACTTTTAATAGGAAAGCAAATACTGTTACAATGGATGAGAATTATAGTCTGGATAAGTTTGTGGAGCCCTTTAAAGTGCATTTCGTGACTATATTAAACAAATCAAGTGATGACCAGAAGAATGGAGATCTGGTTCTCGAGGATAAGAGCGTGAAGTTAACGATGAGTTTTGACAACAATTTGTTTGATTATGTGATCGAAGAGCACAAGACTAATGACACGGCTTTAGAGCACGTTTGGGGCAAAAGTGTGAATCGAGTGACACTTATATCCAAACAACACTCACTCGAAGGCAAATATTCTGTTGTTTTCAAAATTTGAATTCAATTACAATTATAACACAATTGAATGAAAATTATTAATATAATATAACTTTCTATATTTATTGATGAATATAAATACTTTTAAAAATTGTTACAATAGATATGATATTATAATAACCAAATAAGATTATATCAATATCTATTAATACTTTCTTGTATCAATTAATGAATATAATTTGTAACCATTAATTTAATTAATTTAGTTAATAAAGTAAAACTCAAAAGTAATGTACTGGCTTCTAGAAAATTTAGAATTTCGTTACAAATATTTTAGTTTTATGAATTGATAATAATAATTGTAATTCTTTATGTA